ACACTTTATGTTACTATGCTACCGACACTTTGCATATAATAATTATAAAAGACAAAACCATAAATAATTACAACTCCTTTCTATATTGAAAGGCCACATGTCTTCAATAATGTGTCTAATGGCTTCTTGATCCATTATACACTCCCTGCATATGTCTTTATACTCATTTTTCGGTTCAGTTTGACTCCAAAAGTTACCTGAATCACAACAATCAGGAAATAATGTCTTCAAGTCATCATCAAGCTTTTTAACAAGCAGTTTTTCTCTTGTTCTTTCTCTAGCTCTTGCTCTTGCTTCTGTCCTACATTGGTCTCTAGCAAGATCCTCCTGAAATCCAGATTTATTGCATCTTCGTGTCGTTTTCTTCTTTTTGATACTAACACACTTGGGTTGTACTGGTTTCTTTTCTGATCCGCCATTAATGGTTTCCAGAAATGTAAGTTTGGATTGATCAGTGACTGTTGAAGATGAGCAGCTTGTTTCTTCAACCAACTCGTTAATGGCTGTGAGGGATTTGGAAAACAGCCAATCAAGGGTTTGGCTTGGTTTGTCAAACCCTAGCAAGTCTTGAAGACAGAAGAACTTTCGTGAGATCTCAATGGATAATCTCACCCTTCGATCCCTTGGGCCTCGAGCTGTGTAGATCTTACTATGTCCATCTTTCTTCGAGGTCGCTAATCTCTTGTTGTACGGAGAAATTACTGAATCTAAAAGATCATGATCTTCAGAACACTGCAACCCTGATCCTTCAGAAAACTGCTGTTGCCTTCCAAAATCTTGTTTGATTGTAGTAACATTCTCCATGACCGGGGGAGGAGTAGAACTGTTGTAGGGATGAAAAAGAAATTCGCCGGAGTTAAATGGGTCGTCGTTCTTCCGGTAGTAGTTATACTGAACATCATCTTTTTCATGATAAAAGAAAGAATTGGAATGAGAGAAGCCATCGGTAGATGAGGGAAGCTGTGGAAAAGGATTTGAGGAATACATTATGGTTTTAAAAAAAAGCAATCAAAAAATATCAGCAGAAAATTCTTTAATTTAAATAAAGGAAAAGGTTTGGGTTTGGTTTAGCTGGAATTTAAAGAGCCTCTTTCTTATTGGTTGTGGCAATGAAGTGAGAATCTATTTTTTTTGGGCATACTTAAGTAACACCGATGATTACCGTACTTTTTCCCAAAATTAAAAATTTATTGATACTAAGAATCTAATATAAAGAAACTTGGTTGGAACAAATTGGGTTAACCCATTTAGCTAATAAGGTGTTTATCAAGATGTTTTTAATAAGTTCATAAGTTTTATTTCATACATATACTCATTCGCCGTTCTAAAAAAGAAAAACTTAGTTGGAGAAGAGACTATATATATTGAGAAAATAAAATAAGTTGAGAATGGTGGAATAATTCTCAACCAATCATTTATTTTTTCCTGCAAAACACTCCGTTGTATTGATGCGACGGAGGATGAATAAAATTCTTATATTAATATAAATGTGAGTGTATTCATAGATGAATCTACTACCTCCCCTCCGCCACCAACCACCACCACCGCCGCCACCTTCGCCACCAACACCACCTCTACAACCAAGCACCACCAACCTCCGCCACCAACCACCGCTACCATATTCATTTATGAATAATCACTTCATCTATACTTATTCATATATAAATATAGGTATTCATATATGATTTGTTCCATCGGCTCGGTACGCCGGAACGCTTAAACGACAAATTCGAAATGAGTGACCAAGATTCTTTCTCTCATTCTCAAACTTCTTTTTTCTCAATTAAACCTCTCTCTCTCTCTCTTACTCTCTTTTTTTTTCTCTCTCTCTCTTTCTC